TTGACCATATCGGGAAGGGAGAGAAGGTCTCGCCACTGAGAGTAAGGGAGGTGAGAGATAGGTTGACCAACGGCTGTACGGCTTTCCGGGGTCCAATTTTCCTTTTTTTTTTCCCCTCCCCCCAGCTTCACGCCAAACTTTCTTGTTTACCCCTCTACCGTCTACGAGTAGCTAGTATCCCATCACGAGAGGACAAGAAAAAAAAATTGGCCTCTCCGTGTTGCTCCGCTTTCAACTCCACTTATGTGCTGGGATCCATCGACGAGATTTCTGATAAATGACGATGCCTGGACTCGGGGATTCATCTAGTATCCGACAATGCCTAGTAGTTTCACACCCTTCCGGGGAAAGTCAATAATTTGATTTCCAAAATTATATTGGACCAAAAGAGGCAAAGGGATAAATCGACTTTTGAGCTTGGCGGAACCTCCGGCTAGAACAAACGAAACGGTAGCAGGTGGATAGACAGACAAAAGCATACATGTATTCCAGAATTGGATCATGACTCTTCCAATGTCCATCATACGAAGTGGCAAGAGATTGACCAAGTAACTCAAGAGCGCGGGCGGCGACAAGCGACTACGCAATGAATACATGCTTTTGTCGTGGTTTTCCTGCCCGCTCCATCATCTTGAATGTATCATCCTGACTGATGCAAACCGGTGGGCAGGAAATTTGTGGGAAATTATCATTTCTTCATTTCTTTACGGTCGCCGTTCCGTCGTCATCTAGCGCCTGTGCTTTAGGGACTGCATACATACACACCATCCCAAATCTCACCCTTTTCGTATCGAAAACAACCGACGGGGAGACTTCACGTTCAATTCAGCGCTGCACAAATAGAACTTGCAGCCAAACATCGTTGGAATAAAAAGGGTTCCGGATCCTTGAGAGACCCGTCCCGTACAGGATGCTCTACCCTTCACACGCTAGGCCACCACTACCATCTTCTTCAAAACCATCAGCATCAACACGGCAAGTGCAAAACAAAATGGGCTGGGTGCAGTAAATACACCCCCATGCAGAAAGTACCTCGCGGGGAACAAAAATATAACTGTTAGTGGGATGGGCGCATAAGTAGAAGTACATACTCGGTACATACTCTACGCATTGTTCATGTAACTCCTATTCTTGGTCGTTTCCCAAGCCGACTGACTTACCAGAGGGGGGAAATGAGAAGTGCATGCTCCATGTGTGTGGATGCCGAACAGGACGGGTCAGGGTCAATAATAATGACTGCAACAAAAAACGACGTCGTAACTTTTGAGGTGTTCCCTTACCGCTAATCAATCCTCTGTGCGGACGTGTCAGAGGCGTTGCGACGTTCAAACAAGTAGTAATAAAATGATGGCGAATGGCCCCAAATCAGGCACCAAATGGCAAATGGTACCTATCTAAAAACCCAAGTTTTTAGCTCACGATCGTCCGAGTTATGATATGTCGTAATATGAACTACTCTCGAAAAGATTGATCAGAATGAACTAGAAAAGCTGCATATCTTGTATGTTTTCCCTCAACGAAAAACAACACTTTCATCTTTCCAAACCCGACTAGAAACGCGAAGATCCTCGATCACCCAGGAAGGCGGATGCTGCCTCATGACACGTGAACATGGTTCTTCAGATCCAACTGTCGTACACCCCACAGTGTGCGAAATTTCTGCTTAGACGGGAAGGAAAAAAAAAACAAATCGTTGAGCTGGGCACACACCTCTGGGCCCTCTCACTCTCTCTCTTTCTCACTTTCCTGCCCCCCCTCCTTCTGTCCGTTTCGTCCCTACATAAGCTGGGGCCTTGGTATTCATAGCGTGCATTGCATACTACATACGGCCTAAGCAGGAGCAGCTAGCCTTCTTCCTCTTTGAGCCGATCACAACAGCCACACCGCGGCCAGCCGCAGCACATCTGTCGTCGCTGGTAGGGCTATGCTAAGCCACTGACGAAAACGGTGTCACTTCAAAGCCACTGATTTCACGCTTGTGCAGGGAAATGATATTTTAATAATAAACCATGTAACGTGCCCCGGGACGCCTTCCATGAAACGGACCATTAGCAAAGAAAGTCGAAACGAAACAAACAAAAGGAAAGGAAAAGGAAACGAAAGAAAAAAAAAAATTCTTCTAGCCCCTGGCCCGCAGAAATCAAAAAAATAAAATAGGATGAGCATCTATCTAGGGAAGTACCGACCCTGCCCGTACCGCTAACTAAGCCATATTACTCGCGCAGAAGAAAATAGCAGGTAAAAAAGAAAATGCAGGAACGAAACGAACCCGCTCCGTTTCTTTGCACCTCATCCCCCCCCCCCCCCCAGACTTTGTTTATCCAAACCAAAATACCCCATTGCGATGCCGCCATGGGTTGGATTGCGGAGGCAGCTCATCTGCTGTAGGTAGGGGTAACACAATTCACCCGCTGAAAGGAGAGCCTAGTTACACACAAAGAGGGTCCTTGAAGCGCGGGAGACTGAATGATACTCGATCCTGGATCTCGACACTTTCCTTTCATATTCATCCTCAGCTACCCTACCATTGCTGCGGGGAAGATACAAGTACCGGATGAAGAACATGGTTCCACCAAGAAAACTACGTTTTATATATCCCTGTATGATTTAAACACTGATTTTTTTCATTAATCATTATGTACTCTACTCCTCTCGTGAGTCTCGTGAGCGATCAAGATAATCTGCGCAAAGGCAAAAAGGGCAGCAGGGGATGGAATGGAAGCCCAAGGGATAGTGAAAGGTTACCAACTGCCTCATCTCGCAAGTGCTTCGCCATGCAGATCGAGATTAAAACTCAGAGGATAACGCGGGAGTGGAAGCCCTGCGCAAGCAATCAGTCATCGTCCCGTGGAGTCGTGGACCGTGTGTTCCAGAAGGTTGTAACTAAAGTAGAGTACACCCATCTTCACTCCTAGTGCTTCACTGGCGTCGTTCTCGGAGAAAATAAAACCTGCTGAGGAACCCACTCATACGCATGCGTAACCGCATAAAAAAAAATAACCAAGTTTGGACCCAAGTTAACAACCACACCAACCGGTGCCAACCGCAGTTGACACACACGAAATAAAAATAATAAAAAGAACGGAGGAATTCTAACGCGACGTTACCGGTTCAATCCGCAGACGGCGCACTCTTCACAGTCATCATTAAAAGCAAAGCGATACGATAGACTTTAGTTTCCTTCAAGGGACCGAAATTTTGGAAAATAAATTTCACATGTGCATATATGTTTGCTACGCTGTTCACTCGAATACGTATAAAAATGCAGCCATATCAAATTGAAGAATGTTCGTCCGATCATTACTCCCGCCTACATAGAAAAGGGGGTCAGTAGTTTCTGTGAGTCGGCGGACGACCCCTTCAGAGTTGGGAGATTTGAATGCCGTTACATAACTGAATATTATATTATTCAGGCTAATAGTGTGAAGCGTGATGGAGAAATCCGGGACATTCAGGAGAACAAATCATTTCCGGAGAGAGACCGTATTGCTACACGCAAAGGTACTGGCCCAAAGCTACCATTCGAATAAGAGGCAGCAAGGGACTTCGGTATCATAACCTCAGTTTTTTTTTCGGGTAGCTATCAATGCCGGGTGTGCATACCTATGGGTGTTCTTTTCACATGTCCGCATGCCGATATTGCTGCAGCCATTTTGAACTACTCCACATAAAAAAAACTGAAAATAATTTTTTTTTACCTTCCTCACACGGCAGGATATTCCCCTACGCGGGTGTCTGATTATCGTAGGGTACATCGCGGACGTTGGTTGGCTCACCGGGTTCATGTTGCAAAACAGTGCCAGTAATTGGATGTGTTGTTCAAGCAAGCGGGTGCATGATAGGCGTTGAAGTGAGTGACCAGTATGTCGGTTTCAACACCTTTGCAGTCCCTTGACCTATCGGATCCCGTGCAAGAACCTGTGGCCTACTCTAGAGTATGTACTCCAGTGGACTCCGCGGCCGTGGCATAAAGTCTGCCTACATAGACCTAGAGTACCATCTGGCGGCGCATACATACTGTAACACACTGCCGCCGGCCTTTTATATCTACATACAAAGTCTACACAAGTATCCTACATTGACTTCTGTAGTCGGTCTCGTTGAACATGGAGAGGCCAGTCAGCAGCAGTATACTGTGTCCTTTACATAGCCTATTTATGGCAGGAGTTGGGGAGCACATGGTGATGATTTTGAGGGTTCGAACCTACGTGGTCTAGGTATGCGGCATGCACCCAATACCTGGAGTATGCGTCTGCTCACGGACGGCGCATCACATTATGGGGGGTATTGGGGTACAGTCAGTCAGTCAGTCAGTCTTTTGATATCCGCAGATGACGTTGCCCGTTGCGGGAGCAACGATATGATAATGATGGCCATCTCTTCAGATCAGCCAGCTTGCTCTCCGCTGCTGCGATCATACGCTACCAAACATTGTTGATGACTCAAGTCAAATGAAGCAAAGCTGGCTCTCAGATAGCAAAGGACACGTCTCCATCTCTGCAAAAAGAGTCGTTCTTGTTCTGTTTCCCTATTTCCCAGTGGTTCATGTGTCAGGATTAAACCCATAACTAGGCAACCAACAAGAAGGCGTTGTAGACGTTCGGTCGGGTACCGGTACCGCAAAAACGCGGGCCCGAACCAACAAAGAGACCCGCGCACGGTTATTGTTTGCCTGCTATCCTCTAAACCGATTGGAGGTCGGACAAATGATGGCTCGCCAGCCATTGGTCCATGCCGGAAACCCATGTCTGTTGTCTGGTTTGTCGGTTATGTAAGTTGGTATTATTTTTACTGAATAAGGACGTCACGTGAGAGAACCTGAGTGCTGGAGCCAGAGCACCTGCTCTAGGTAAAAGAGGTACCTACATCTATAGATAGCTAGGCACAGGCACGCACGGCGCATGTCGTGAGGCTTGTAAATGACAGCGACTTTCGCTAAAGGGCCGCCGCCCCAAGGAGTTGTTTCTGGAGACGGGAGAAGGCAAAGATAGGAGTCGAAAATGTCGGACCAGTTAGTTTAGTCAGTGTCCTGTCTGTTCGCAGCCATTTGAAACGGCTGCTAATATCCCAGACGGCAGCCAATGGCCAGTGCACACAGGAATGTATGGAAACGGATGGATAATAATCTCCATCATGTACAGGCAGGTCTCACAGTCACCTGATTTGTAAAGCATGCACCACACGCAAACCCATGGGATGGGGCTCAGCCTTGTTTAAGATGTCGAGAGAAGAGCGTCACTCATGGCAATATCAGTCATCCAACCAGAGTCGTACACAGGCTGGCCCTAAAGATGTCCAAGGTTCTCTACAGAAAGACAGAAAGCCAGCTGGGGGGAGAGGGGGGTTTGCGTAACTGGATGACAGATCTTGGAACTGTTGGTTTGTTTATTTGAGTCTGGCCAATGATAGTAAGTTACAGCTCAAACCCATACCCGCGAAGCAGCGCTTCTCCCTGCTGCTTCGTATGTAGATGTTTGCCTCTCTTGGCGGCGGTAGCTTTGAAGCTCTAACCAACCTGGCAGTGCTGCCACCGTTCAGCTCATCTTGAATCGAAAGCGAACCGGTAGGGAAAGGGCCATGACTCTTTGAGAGGTGTAGATTTCTGAACTCTATCTGTCTGGAACGCTGGGCTGCTCCAACTAACGGTCTAGTCATGGTTGGAGGTTGGGGTTTGGTCACTGGCATGGCAAATGACGGTGTAGGTACAAAGTTTATCAACCATGGAGAACGGGAAGAGCCAACCGAAATACTCATAAAAGATAACATTGCCGAAATTCAAAGAGGGGTTCTTTTACCGGGTAAGTGGAGTTATTAATTGCGCAATCGGTGGAGTATTAACTAACAGACGCAAGGCGAGTTGAAGAAAAGTCTCACTTCGGTTGCTAAAATTAATACGTTAATCGAATAGAATTAATTGCATTCGGCGTGAATCATTGGCTCATAGACAACTAGAGGTAAAGAGGTCGAAAAAGTCTCACTAGTACTCCGGTTGCGAAAACCAATAAGTTAATCGAATATAACTAATCGCGCTCGTCGTAAAGCATGCATATACTAACAGATCTTTAGCAGAGGCAAGAGAACTGAAAGGATCGAAAAGGTCCAAATCGTTATCACACCGGTTACCAATTTAATAAGTTAATCAAATAGAATCAACTGCATTCACAGCTAGTTCGGGATGAAGTGTTAGCCAACAGATTGAAAGACAAATGGGGTTGAAGGGGGCTAGGTCTGGATCGTTATCACTCCGGTTGCCAAAGTTAATCGAAGAATCGATACCGGCCACTGATTTCAGGGAAGAAAGAACCATACTTTTGGGCACATGTGCTGTCTTGTTTCTACGGGTCTCTAAGTAAGGATTCCCTTGCGCGTTGACATTCCCTCGATCATTTCTCGGTCTCAGCTGATCAAGGGTATCTAGCACTGAATCTGGTGATATATACAGAGATATCTCTATTGAAGACACGACGAATATTTAGTGCCTGTCTGACAACCTCTAAGCCTCACAAGAGAGGGCTTGAGCTTCACGAACGGGTAGGGACTTGATCATTTGCACAGACAAAAACTCACTATGTCTTGTTGATTACACGAGGACAAGTTTTTATCTAGGTTTAGTTGTCCAGTTCGCGCCGGTGGAATCCACTAGCTCTTCCCGAGTGATATCTCATGAAAACGCGGCCTCACTAGAGTCGAGTGGCCCGCGCCACCCCCGGAGGAGAATTGATAATCCTCCGATCGGGACTTTTCATTCTAACGCGTATTACATCTTCGTACCCGCATCCACAAGCAAACAATTGTTACCGGGAACCCTCGCTCGCTCGCTCGCCCTCCTTCATTCCTTTTTCGCTTCGCGCTCCAGATTGCTCGAAATTTTTTCTTCTGCCTTGCCTTGCGTTACCTTACCTCACACGCACACCACACTGACTGACACTGACCGCCCTGGTTGCCTTGAACTAGCTTCTACTGCCTGCGGTGGTAGCTACAAAGATATGATATTGGAATTCTAACCGACAAAAGCTGTTGAAGGTTCGACGTTCCGACCCACCCCAACATGTTAACGTTACCGTGGAATCATACGTCCTTCCTTACCTTACCTTACTTGTCTTTAGTCAATGGGGTTTCTATTTTGCAAGATGGAGCTGCTCGATCGGCTGCATCGATCGATTGGTCGGGTTACTTTCGTTGAGTAACAACAGGGTTGGCCGGGGGCCTACCGGTCAATAGATCAGTAGATGGGCGAACGTTGACTAGAGTAATAGCGATGTCTACAAACTCAATACCGGTACATAACTCGAGTAGGTAGGCATCTCTAGAACACCACTTTGGGTGGCAACGAACAAAACATGGTCATTCTCGGTAGCTCATCATGCCCACTTAGTAAGCCACCCCTCCCCTCCACCCTCCAAAAGAAAAATCCAATTTGGTAACGTCTCCTGAAACTAGTCAAATCCGTCGAATGACCCATTGTGTTATCCGCCGTCTGACAATTTTGAGGCTCAACCCCATGTCAAAGAATATTTATTTTTGTGTTTTGCATGGGAAGAGTGGGAGGGGAGGGGGGCGCGTCAGGATGCAAGACCTCCCGAAATTTGGGGAGGGATGCATGAGGGGTGGCAGAGCAGGCCTGTGCGATGCTGGCTGGGGTCGATGGAATTAGCTGAGTATGGTATGAGACGGACCAAGTCGATCCCAAATTATCGATCATCGTGGGAGAAACAAGATATGAGTGGGGGGTGCGCTTCGAACTCTTTGCGCGCGACATGAAGTTTGCGATCGTGAAAAAGATCAAGTAGCCTAATTTTGGCGGCGGTGGTTGTGGTTATGGGCTTCAGTTGCGGTTTTAGACGCCGGGGGTTGAGGCTTTCTAGCTACCTCTTCTATTCTAGCTGGGAGGGACCAGTCATGACTGGAGGGGTATGTAGGGTGATCGTGGACTCAAGGTATGTAATATTTGTTTACTCCTCCCTACTTTACTGGTGACTGAACTAGTCATTTGGGGTGGGATCATGGAGTGTCGCGACGTTTTTGCTTCTGATTAAGTGGACTGCTGGCAATGATCTGGAAATTTGAGCCCCAGGGGGGCTTCCTTGGCTATTGCAGTTGAGGATTTTCATATCTTCAGCCGCTTCGCAGTTCACGCGCATCCCGGTCAATACATCATGTTAAATCACTCGATGCCGATTATGCGAGTGATATCTGATGATCATAACTAAGAGATAGAATAGGCGGAACGCTTCTCTACATGAGTACTCAGGGTGCAAATAATGTGTTTTGCCTTTATAACAGTGACTGTTATTGCGATAGGAATTATAACACCTTGATAGCCCTAAAATCTCGAGCGCGAGGCGGCTATCTACAATGTAGGCGGCAACCACTAGGAGATTTACCAACGGAAATATTATCATCCAGTGGATACATGTGTTTACCGGTCCTAGATTTAGTACTGGCTGCTCATTGGTCCACTAACTCACAGGTACCTGAAACAAAAAGAGTTTTGACAGCTTACTGGCAACCGTCACTTGATCGGAGATCTTGAATTCGCATTCCGCATGGCGCGCATCATGCACCGAGAGATCTGGTCAAGTTATAATGTACAGTTTCCGGTAGAATTATTGCGAAAGTCAGAGCTAAAAGAGTGGATTTTGTTGGCCAGTGCTCGTAGCAAAAATCTTTTAAGGGCCAATAGGACTATCGGGTCACGGAGAACCCACTTTCGCAATAATTCTACCGGAATCTGTATCTATCAGAGCAACGGGTCGCTCGTGTTGGTCTCCTGTGCGCACAAGGCCGCCGTGACGTGCCAGTTACAGCTCCGTTGCAACGATCAGGGCCGCCGATGAGCCCGGTGCGCACACACATCATACGTTCCCGGGCAGTATCTACGAGCGCCCTCGCCATCGCCGGCCCCTGGGGCGCGCATCAATGGCGTTTCGGTGCCTTAAAAATCGTAGTTACACCATCATTGTGGCTGTGGCGGTTTGGCGGTCATTGCGTCTTGTGGCGATGTCGATCTTGAATAGTATGAGGCCGGGTTTCCGGAATTCCACCAGTTATATTGGCCCGATTTGAGGCCCGACCGGATCTGGATGGCCGGTGGGCGCTGCCTGGGCGATAATGGGGTTTCGCCGGTGGGACGGAGGGCGGCCGCATGCGGTTTTGGCTTTGGGACCCGGGGGGCGCGGCTGCGGCTGGTCAATGACCAAGTTGTGAGATATTGCATCAAGTTGCGGGGTTGGACAGGCGAGCCGCTGAAAGTCAAATAAACCCGACACCGCGCGGGATTCATGGAAGACCAACGCTTGGCTTTGACTGATAATTATGCCATTTCTAAAAGTTTTTGTGTTCTCGAGAGCCATTACGGCGGGGTTAAGTTTGGACTAGGCGCAAAGTGCTGGTTATCTATCAGAGTTTTCAGAATTGCCGCACAACTGCTATATAACGCAGCGGAAACTCATCTTTTCCTGGGGCTGGTTAATTTGTGGGGCCTTGAGATTTTATTGACGCGACAGTGATACTGGGAGATTGGTGCAATTTTATTGGACAGCAAGCAAAGGCAAAACGCGCCAATCAAAAATTTACTCCTCATTTGATACTAGCTGTTCGTCCAGAGGGCTTTGGGGGCTCGTGGATATGGATAATATCCACGGAAATAAGGTCGTGGCGACATCATGCAACTATAAATATATATTCTCTAGTAAACACGCTAGAGTGGTATCAAGGGTCCAAGGCGGGGTAAAAAAGAGCTGGCTAATTAGCTGCCAGAGCTGGTATTGCCTAGGATACAGTCGTCTCAGTGCCGGGTCAGTATCTACAGTATCCGGTAGAATTATTGCGAAAGTCAGAACTAAAAGGGTGAGTTTCTTGGCTCGTGCTCACTGCAAAAATTCCTTTGAGGGCCAATGGGACTATCGGGTCACGGAAAACCCACTTTCGCATTAATTCTACCACAATCTGTAGCACTGATGGCGTGCCAACGATAAGTTTCCTGCCTGGCAGCCAGCTGGTGGCGTTCATCTCATCTTTAGACTGCCTACTCGTAACTAGTCACTTTGGCCGTTGCCTCACAGCCTTGTGTAGCTATGTGACGCGAAAATTCAATATATTCCGAGTTGGAAGAGTTGGGCTTTTACATCGTGCTCTCTATTGATCATGGTCGATGGAAACCGGCCATAGGAGATCTGGACAGCTGTAATTTTTTGATATGTTCCATGTGGCGCCTTAGGGTGGGCCACATAGATCGGGTTGTCTTTGCTGCCTCGCCTCACCGTTGCCTAGGGCTAGAGTTGGATGCCTCAAGTTTTTTTTGATGTTCCTCGAGGTTTTGGATACGGTTATGACGCTCTATGGGCATGACATTTGGGTGTTAACATCTAATTGGATTCTGCTTTCCTCCGGTGGGGCAAGATGGACAAGATCTGACTATGAGGTGGGGGTGCGGTAGGGGTGAGGATAAGTGGGGGTGAGGATAAGTGAAAGCCAGAGATTCTGGCCCTCTTTTATACGGACACCTAGATTAACTCTAGGCCACCATGGATAGATGCATCATCGGAATACTCATATATATGTCTACTAAAAAAGTTCTGCACCCGATGTCTGGCTTTCGTTTGGACTTCGGGGAAAGGCGTTAGGCCGTTCAGTGGGGTGCTGTTGCCGGGTAGATTAATTGTAACATGTTAGTTCCGCCCACGGAAGTACTTCCAGTGAGTTGAAGTGGCGGTGAAGGAAGTTACAACATCGCCAGTAGATTTGTAGTATTAACAGTGAACTCATATGATGGAATCCGAAGAGTTCCTACTTTTTTTTGATCCCTCTCGTGAGAGCACATTCCTACCACTTTTCCACCGTTCTCGCCGGAAAAAATGCAGTGTATTATCTCTTGCAGCCGGCCCATTAGGGATAATAAAAGAGAGGTACAACAAAAGAAAGATCACCTACGAACAGTTCAACTTTTCCATCCACGATCACGATGACAATTGGTGCCTTGAATTCCTGCGATTCAATAAAACACAAATTATAATCCTTGCAGAAATACTAGAGATTGAGTCACGTTTCCGGTACCGTTATAAGGCTTCTGCGACCACAGCTCTCTCCATAGTATTATTCCGACTTTCTTGGCCCAGCCGATACAAAGAATTCCTGATATATTTTGGCCATGCATTTGGGTGGTGTTCAACAGTGATCAACGATGTATGTGTCTTTCTACATACAAGATTTAAGGATCATCTCTTCTGGGATTCTGCACGCCTTACACAAGAGGTTCTCACAACCTATTGTACTGCGATCTATCACCATGGTGAACCCTCTGGCTGTATTTGGGGTTTTATTGATGGAACTCATCGACCCATTTGCAGGCCAAGCTCTCAAACGGCAGATCAACGCCTTTTATACAGTGGGTATAAAAAGATTCACACTATGGTCTGGCAGGCTGTAATTACACCAGATGGATTGATTAGCAGCCTTTCTGGCCCTTGGGAGGGGAAAAGAGGGGATTGGGGTGTGTTACGACTTTCAGGCTTGCAAGATAAGATTAAATCTTATTGTTATGATAGTGATGGGGACCGTGTATATATTTATGGTGATGCTGCATATTATCTAGAAGATGGAATAATTGGAGCATACCGGGCAGGTAGAAACAGACCTTTGACTGACAGGGAGATTGAGTTTAATACAAGAATGGCTGCTATGCGGGTATCTTCAGAGTGGGGATTTGGAAAAATTGCGAATATGTGGTCCTTCTGTGGCTACAAGAATGAGATGAAGATTGGCCTGTCTCCTGTTGGTTCATATTACTTTTGCGCTGTTTTATTTACCAATTGTCATACATGCTTTAATGGTTCAGTTACGGGAAATGTATTTAGATGTCTACCGCCAACAATTTGGGAGTACTTTGGACGGGAACAATAGAATTTCTAACCAATTACATATAAGAAATCAAGCATCACTTGCCCTCCTCAAATTATCCCGAAGGAATTGCATCATCTCCCCTTGGTTTTTCCTTGCCTCCTCCCGCATATCCAAAATCTCACTCTTGAAATGAGATCGTAAATCTGCAACTTCAGCCCTGATAGCAGCCTGTTCCGACCCACTACTACCACTCCTACTCTCTAGAAGAAGCCGGAAATTACTGTTAAAATTTTCCATTTTTTCCTTTTCTATGTCCTTAATAGAATCAAGAAGCTCCCGGTCACCTTCTTGATTCATGGCGATGATGTTATCAACCACTTTGGCATTCCCTTTAGGAAGAATCTCACGCACAGCCTGTCGTTTATTGGCCTTCTCTGGTTCTTCCATATCAGTTGGGGCACCTCTTTTTTTCCCGAAAACATTACACATATCCTCCCGGACATTGTTGACAATTTCCCTTTCCCGACAACTTTCATCTTCAGATTTCTTTTTCCGGCTTTTTTCTATCTCCAATGAGTCCTTCAACTCAATCCAGACATCCAGAGCTTGATCCTTATCGGTCTCAGACCTCGCCACCCCGCTCTTCCCTTTGTCCTGCTTGACCCGCTCCCTCCTGTCCTTCTCATAGTTCTTCATCATGCCCTGAACTACTAGATCGATACCAGTAGTCTCACAGAATATAGCTCGCATGTTGCTCCAGTATTCCTCCCTAGGACCCCTCACATACTCCTCAAAGTGCTTTACACAGGTACGGACCAATAGAGCCTGGTCCTCGGGATCCTTCAGATAAACTCTCTTTTTTCTTTTTGAACCAGTATCTAACTCCTCCTGCCCCATATCAAGCAGCTCTATAGGTGCGGCTGCTGCGGCTTGAGTGCCCGCGGCTGTGTCTATCGGCGGCGCAGTTGCGGCTTGAACGGCGGCTTGAATGCTCGCGGCTGGTGCTGTTGTGGAGAGTGACTGATATGCGGCTGTATCTCTCGGCAGCGGCGTTGCGGCTGGGGATAGTGCAGCTGTATATCTCGGCGCATGAGTGTAGTTGGGGAGAGCTGCAGCGTATTGTGCAGCATGTATCATTTGAGCTACCTCTTCCTCATCTAGTTCAAGGTTGAAGCTATCATCTAGCTTTATTTTATTAGAATTAATATCAAATTAGGTAGAAGATGTACTCACAGGGAACATAAATGGATGTGACATCTTGGTTGATGGTGATTGATAATAGGTTGTGAGCGTCGAGGAGATCAACCTGAGGTTTGGTTGTGAACATGTTGAAAATGCGCCAAAAGTGATGTAACCTCCGGAGATTGACTAGCCCCAAGGCTAAGGTGAAAGCCAGCCTAACGGCTGGATCACTGTAATCCAGAGACCCTCCCCGACTTTCACCCTCAATCACTCCATTCCCAAGCGGTGCCGACCCAGTCCGCATCCAGTCCGAACCAATCCCAATCGTCCTGAAAGCCAGACTTCGGGTGCAGAACTTTTTTACTTGCTTTGATACTCTCGAATAAGTCTCACTCACCGTGAAGACTCCGGGCCCTGTCAGAGTCTTTTCGTGAAAGGCATTCCATTTATTCCAGAAGAAAGAAGGATCGGACTTAAGGTCACCTCACTGCCGGCGCGTGCGGGGCGAGAGGTGCATAGTGTATCGTGGTACATACAGATTGTGGTAGAATTAATGCGAAAGTGGGTTTTCCGTGACCCGATAGTCCCATTGGCCCTCAAGGAATTTTTGCAGTGAGCACGGGCCAAGAAACCCACCCTTTTAGTTCTGACTTTCGCAATAATTCTACCGGATACTGTACATAAAAACGAGATCATGCAGTGATTCTACTTGAGGTCCAAGAGATGACATCGTTCCTCACTGGGGCGATATGTATGTCCCGTGTATGCGTCACGTCAATCTAGGTCTTTTGTCCTACACTCCTTGTGATTATCTCGCCACACCGATCACAGTGAAGGTGTCGCTCACGAGGACGCAAACTGTTTGGTTTGACTGTCGGTGTAAACAGACGTGCTGCATATGGCCACTAGGTTTTGGAATAATGGTTTTCGATAGATCGACAATACCAACAAAAGGCAATACCGATGATATCTACTCGCGCGGCCGGTTTGAAGCCGCTCAAAGAACTGTGATGAGTGATCTGGCAGCCAATAAGAGCTCACGTTTTTGCAGTGCTCAGATCAATTACCTTTTTTGTCTGAGCGGCTTCAATCCGGCAGCGCGAGTAGGCCGCGCCATAATTATACTTAGGGGCACATGATACACGAGTCACAATAGAAAGAACACGAGTAGAAATAGCAGGTATCAAGAGATACTGTAACTTAAGCATGGGACCAACTAGTACTATCACTCCATAAACCGGCCCGGGTATCATTGACATCTAAATCGGTTTTGAAGGCAACGAGTGATCATTCATGATTACACCAACAATCTCTCGATTCCCCAGGCGGCCTTGAATTCACTGATATCTGGAGATATTGGGCTCACTGCCGGTATTTTCCTCTTGATATCGGGTTGGATTTGTGGTAACCGCGCACACGACCGGCGGGCCCTCTCTACCGCGGCCAGGTATCAAATTTGAAAACGCATGCGACCGATGCTCGCGCTGCCGGTAATCGCTCTTTATACTCTACAGATGGGTTCTTGACACTCTGATTCTAGTCGGGTCGTGCGGCGGGGTCGGCGGGACTGATTTGCGTCCTGGGGCTCGGTCGGGTGATATATGGGTTTTGGCTCGTTGGCGAAAGCTGTTGACTAATTCTACTTTTGGTCTTGAAAAAGCCGTAAATAGATCTAAACTATAAGAGGTCTTCTTCCCCACCTACTATACTTTGGAGATTCGAGTTACTCCACCTTGATGCGGGAGCGCGGGGGAGGAGGGCGCGGGGGGTTTCACAACGCAGGCGCCCTCCCGCACCCTCCCGCACCCTCCCGCACCCTCCCGCACTCTATCAAGGTCTACATCATCGTCTTATAATAGCACTCTACACTGAGTATATTATCTCAAGTACCCCCGCCCTATTTAAAATATCCTAACGTTTATGTCATACCTAACTCCCGGCCGGGTCTTCACACGCGTATCCGCCATGACCCTATTTCGTGACCCGGCGAGAGCGGGAGGGTTCAGAACCAGTGTATAGACCATTAAGAAGAGTTACCGGTAGGGCGGATCCGCGCCGCACGCGTTTCTTGGGTGGTGGTGTTGGGTTGTGCGGTGGTGCGGCGTCAATGATTGGATTGCGGCTAGTGCTTGGAGTGCTGATTTGGGGTGTTTGGGCGGTGGATTGATTTCAACTGCTAACTTGTGGTAAAGAGATAGTCACTCAGTGATGTTCTTTAGATTGCAGCAATTTTATGGTATGTCCCGAAGCCTATGCGTGGTTGATCGGAGTTTCAGGCGTCTATTCCACATCATGAGTCCATTTTGCGACCCGGTGAAGATTAAAAAGTCTAGATATCTTATTCGGGCTATAATCAGGAGTTACCGGCAAGCCGAGTCTGAGCCGCATGATGTTTTGGTTTTGCGGTCTGGGGGAGGTACGGTGTCGTGTAATGCCAATGATCATATTGCACCTATATACATTCCTCAGACGATCCAGTGAGTCAGCGTCTCCAGTTCATTCCTAACGCAAGGTTCCATAATGACGCTGTTGAGATTAAGGCTGAACTTCAGGGTGCTCTTTCATGGTAACATGAAATCTATCACCGGGCCTGACTAGAGTTTCAGATGCATACTCCTTTTACTGGGTTTATTTTACGACCCGGTTTGAGCCAGAGGGCCGAGACTACTTCATTGAGCTGTGGAGAAGGATTAGCGGTAGAGAGGATCGCGCTCGAATACAGTTTGGTTGTGGTTGGCGTTTGGTGTTCGGTACTTGCGCGTTGTGATATGGGTAGCCAATTGAATTACATATGCTGTCGAATCATTGACCCAAACACCTCCATTACTAATGGGGATCGTCTGATTTCATCTTGGGAGTATTCGATTCTAGATTTGAGTCTTCATAGCGGTTTCAGATGCATATCGATCATGAGCTTGTTTTGAGACCTATATAGTGGTCATCTAAATCAAGGGTCCAGCGGGTGTTGTCGAGAGAGAGCTGCTATCAGCTGCAGGATACATAGTTCTAATGGAGCGTGGTGGGGCAGGGATTGACTCGGAATACATTCGAGCTCGAGATGCATGCGGCTGGGAAAAAACTAGGACTTGGATCCCGAGATGGTCTCAGTCGATCTGTGGATCGGGCTAGATCAGTATGTTCGGAAACAACAGAAGAGTCTCAAGCAAGGAGAGACAATAGTATTGTTCTAACAGGTACAGGAATGAAAGAAGACATTGCGTAAAGAAGAAAGAAAGAAAAACTACAACAGTGGAGGGCGAGCATCTTATGTAAGTCCCAAAGAAATTCCGACGACTAATCTGTACCACTTGAACCAAAGAAACCAAAAGAATAAAACAGAAACCAAATCTGAAACCCGAAACTGTAACGGAGCCATTTCAACTGTCTGGTGTATGAGTACACACAGGGCCCAGTTACATGCTGAGAGTTATTGTTAGAAGCCAGTTGCATGGTGATATGCAAGTACCGGCAGTGTGGTTAGCTATCAGCTGTTAGAGTAACTACATTCCGGGCACTAGGAAGGGAATCTATTCATAGGAGCAATGACTGACGAGTCTATGTCTCACCAGTGACTAGAAGGCCGGCCAGAGTGAAGCTCTGATTGCCCAGTGATCCTTCATATTCTCTGAGCATTGCAAGTCCGCCGAAAGGGCAGGGACTATGCTAGGGAAGTCTACAATAAGCGAAAGCTCTACAGCAATGATTAAGCTTACACCTGAGCGGTAGCTCATTCATGCAGGCCCCGGTTGTATGACAACCAAGGCTGGATTTATTAAAAAAGCTTTGACTAAGGGTGGTTGCCTTGGGTATCGGAAACACCTGCTGACGCTTAGAGAAAAGCGGTGTAACGGAGCCATTTCAACTGTCTGGTGTATGAGTACACGCAGGGCCCGGTTACATGCTGAGAGTTATTGTTAGAAGCCAGTTGCACGGTGATATGCAAGTACCGGCAGTGTGGTTAGCTACCAGCTGTTAGAGTAACTACATTCCGGGCGCTAGGGAGGGGATCTATTCATGGGAGCAATGACTGACGAGTCTATGCCTCGCCAGTGTCTAGAAGACCGGCCAGAGTGAAGCTCTGATTGTCCGGTGATCCACTGTATCCTCTGAGCATTGTAAGTCCACCGAAGGGCAGGGACTATGCTAGGGAAGTCTACAATAAGCGAAAGCTCTACAGCAATGATTAAGCTTACACCTGAGCGGCAGCTCATTCATGCAGGTCCTCGGTTGTGTGGCAACCAAGGCTGCAGGTGTTATAAAGGCTTTTGACTAAGGGTGGTTGCCTTGGGTATCGGAAACACCTGCTGACGCTTAGAGAAAAGCGGGGTAGCGGTGGTATTGTTTCCGGTACTGAGGGAAGGCCCACCGGAACTTAGTAAGGAGTTAGGAGCAGAGAATAGAGGCCTTCGGAGTATAAGTACTCAGGTTCATTCTTGCCCTTCAGTCCTGTTCTCTCCAGTCTTCATCAGAAGAAAAACCAAGTTCTTATCGGTAGCAGAGCCCTTAAAGATTATTGAGTTCTAGCGATAGTATCTTTGAATAATCTGCAACCTGATTGTCTATCTTGCACGGCCGTCTCTATTCTATCCAATTCTATTTCTCTTAGAAAGGACCCCCGTTACAAGCGGGGTAGCGGTGGTATTGTTTCTGGCACCGAAGAAAGGCTTCCCCGGAATTTAGTAAGGAGGAAGGAGCAGAGAATAGAAGCCTTCAGAGTATAAGTACTCAGGTTCATTCCCGCCCTTCAGTCCTGTTCTCCTGAGTCTTCATCAAAAAGAAAAACCAAGTTCTTATCGGTAGCAGAGCCCTTAAAGATTATTGAGTTCTAGTGATAGTATCTTTGAATAATCTGCAACTTGATTGTCTATCATGCACGGCCATCTCTATTCTATCTTATTCTATTTTCTCTTAGAAGAGACCCCCGTTACAAAAATTTCAGCACCTGATTTAGGCTGATTGATGGTCAATTACACCGAGTGCCGATCCAACTGGTCAATATTATCAGAAGATGCAACGAAACCTAGTTTTTTTTACAAAAGAATACAGATTAATAATTTGCAGTTTACATATCCAGTAATACCAAGAATCATTGAAAGTTGTGACTGACGAGTATATATGACAATTTTGCATGCTTCCACAGTTATTTTAGCCTCTATTCATAAGTATTCATTTCAAACATCAAAAAAAAAAAAAGTTCCTTTTTCCTAATACTGAGATCGGATTGCGGGAGTCATATACCCGCCCTACCAAATCTCAGTATCAGGTATGGTGACTGGGGGAATATATATATATATATATATATCCCATAAATTCACATGATTTCCCGCCAATTTCAGTACTATGCAATTAGTCTTTGATTACATCACCCAACTCGGAGAGAAATGACAGCACTCTTTAAATTGATAACTACTGGCAAGGTCAAGGACTGGATACTACACTATCATTTCTCCTGGCGATCCGTGCACTAGTTTTTTTTTTTTTTTTTTTTTTTTTTTTTTGCAAACTGGGTTCTGTAATCACTGGCCCTATAGCAGTGTACTAGTAGTGATAGTGGCGGTCTGGCATTGCACCCGGGCTCCGTGATCATTGGACCCTCACTCGCGTCGCCATGATCATTGGCCCCTTACAAATAAACCGTAGCTCCCTACCCCCCCCAAACCAAACAGTGCACAGCCGCTCATGCTGGCGCCGATATAGCGACTTTACAGCTTAGTTAATTGATCTTTTGGGTCGAAAGGTAGGCGGTGTGTGTGTCCGGTCCCAACCGGCGATACCTACGTAGTTGATGTTGGGGAGGCCGGGGTCATTGTAGAGAATTACTACCACTACGAATGTCATAGGTTGGTAGGGTTATTTCAGTATGAGCTATCAAGTAAACTTTTCATTGCTACGGGCGAGTGGGAGTCCGCCGTGAGCATGAGAAAGAAATCTACGGTGGGCAAAAAACACTCTAGATATATGATGGGCAAAAAAAAAAAAAACACTAGATATATGATGGGCGAATACAGCAGCTAAATCAACAAATCACAACCCGCACAAACCCAAGAAACCCAATCCCAGGTTTTTTTTTTTTTATTTTCACTGCTAGCTACCTATCTAAGCCGAAGACACAAGATAAGAAACGATACACGATTTCCGGATATCCCCCTCTAAATCTACACCATCGCGCCCCTCCCCCCGACCGTCCCCAGACTCCTCTTCTGCGTCTCACTCAGCACCACCTCCGGCAGCACCCTCTCCCCCTTTCCAGTCGGCGCCGGCAAGAATCCCAGCGCAACAAGATACGCCAAATAAACGCCCATCAACTCCACACTCACGCCCGCACCCCCACTCCTATCCTCCCCCGTCCACGCCGCATCCTCCCTCAGCGCGCTCACCGCATTCGCATCGTCCAGCTCCGGCGCCTTCGTCGTATTCGGCAGATTATCCAACACGAAATGCAGCAGCGGGAACAGCGCATTATCCGCGCTCCCGCCCACGACCCACGCCTCGAGCGCCACGCGCCAGGGGACATAGTCGACCGTGGCCACATCGTACCCGTAGGTGGCGAGCGTGCCCAGGAACTCGTTGAAGCGCAGTCGCGGGTGGGACGTCACGTGCGCGACGGGGAGCGGGGTGGCGGGAGGGTGGAAGGCGCAGGCGGTGACGACGCGCGCGACGTGGTCGACGGGCACCATGTTGACGGTGTTGTGGATGTTGGGCATTTGGCCCAGTTGCGCGCAGCCTTTGAGCATGCGGATGAGGAAGTCGTCGGTGTTGGTTACTGTGGGCCCCGGGGGGGGGGGGGGGGTTAGTTAGATAATCGGTAATCAACTAATCGATCATTGACGGGCGAGTGATAGTCTATGACCAACGGAAAGAGAAAGGGAACACGAACCTCCCGTCTTCGAATCGCCAACCACATACCCAGGCCTGACCACACACCCACTAAGCCCCCTCCTGCCGGCCTCGCGAACGAGATATTCACCCGCCCACTTACTCTGCCCATAGCCCGTCCCCAGATCGCCCGCCGAGCCCTCAAGATCATCGCTCTCCGGCACGCCCGACCCACCCTTCTCCATGATCGCGTCCGAGAGGAGCACATAATGGTCGCTATCCAGCACCGACGTCGACGACACAAACGCAAAGCTCTTCGGCCTGCCCGCCGCGCAGAGCAGCAGCGCGTCGACGGTGCCCGTGACGTTCGCCGGGCGCAGCTTGGAGTATGGGTAGACCCAGTGGACCTATAACCGCTGTTAGCAAGAGTAGAGCCAAAAGGCAATAGAAGGAAGAGGGGGGGGGGAGGGATGTACTTGGGCGCCGTTATGGATCACCACATCCACCTCGTCCACCAGCGTCTTCCACTCGCCCTCTGAGACGCCGAGTTTCTCGCTCCCGAGCTCGCCCGTCACGCACTCGATGCGCGGCACCCAGGCCTCGTCCCACACGCCGTACGCCTGCGAGCTGGACCGGACACGCTCCAGCGCCTTCTCCTTGTCGCCCGCGCGCACGTGTAGGAAGACCTTCTTAACCCCCGGATTCCTCCTGCTTAATAGATCCCTCAGCAGGTAAACCCCCAGAAACCCAGTAGCACCAGTCAAGAACACCGTCGCGCCCGGCTGCGGCTTCCCCAGCGTCTCAAACCTCTCCGGCAGGCCCTTCGCCAGCTCCCTCGCATCCCTCGCATAATCCTTCTCCTTCTTCTCCTTGCCCTCCTCCTCCTCCTCCTCGCCCTCCTCGCCGCCCCCGGCCAGCTGCTGAATCGCCAGCTCCCCATGCCCCTTCAGCCGCTCAATCTCGCCCGCCAGCGCCCCCAGCGTCGGATACCGAAACACCGCGCCCAGCCCCACCTCCGTGACAAACCTCTTGCGCACCTCAAAGATCATCCTCGTCGCCAGGATCGAGTGGCCGCCCACATCAAAGAAGTTCGACGCCGCGCCAATGGCCTCCGCCGAGTGCGGCAGCAGCCCCTGCCAGATGCCGCGCAGCCCCCGCTGCGTCTCCGTCAGCGCCGCCTCCGCCGCCGCCTCCGCGCCGCCGCCGCCCTGCTGCTGCTGCGCCGCCGCCGCCGCCAGCTGCGCCGTGTCCGGGAAGGGCAGCGCCGGCTTGTCGATCTTGCCGTTCGGGTTGAGCGGCAGCCTACTCAGTGGCACCACGACGCTGGGCACGGCGTACGCGGGCAGGCGCGCCTTGAGGTGTGTCTTGATGTCGCGGATGAGCTTGCGGTATTTGCGCAGCCCCCTGACGATCTCGTCGTCGCCGTCGCCGTCGCCGCTGTCTTCGGCGGCGGACAGGAGTGTGGCGAGAGTGTCGGACTGCAGCGGCACGATGTACGAGACGAGCGTGGGCTCTTCGTCCTTGTCGCGGCGGACGAGCGTGACGTTTTCGCGCACGAGCGGGTGCTGGCTGAGGTGGGTGTCGATCTCGCCGAGCTCGATGCGGAAGCCGCGGATCTTGACCTGGTCGTCGGCGCGGCCGGAGCACTCCACGTTGCCGTCCGGCAGATACCTCCCCAGGTCGCCGGTCCGATACATCCTGTCTCTCGGGCCCTGGTAGAACTCTCGCCACCTCTCCCCGCCGTCCTCGGCGGCCTGCGCGGCCCAGTAGTGGTCGTCGTCGGGCAGGTACCAGTTGCGGATGAACTTTGTCGCCGTCATGTCCGGCAGCTTGAGGTATCCCTCGGCGAGCCCTCCGGCGCGGACATAGATCTCGCCGATCTCGCCGACGCCGCAGATCTGCGTGCGGTCGTGGCGGTTGACGACGAGCAGCTGCACGTCGAGCATGCCCGTGCCCGCGGGGACCACGTCCTTCTGGCTGTGCGAGAAGGTGGCGTCGGCGGTGAGCGACGGCACCTCGAAGTAGGACACCGCGCGCTGCGTCTCGGTCGTGCCGTACATGTTGACCACGGCCACGTTGCGGGCGAGGGATTGCAGCCGCAGGCAGTCGCGCTTGGTGAGCACGTCGCCGACGAAGAAGGCGTGGTGCAGCGAGGGGATGGCGCGCGTGGCCTGCGCGGAGAGGAGCTGCCCCATGGCCGGTGTGAGGTGTGTGATGGTGGCGCCGTGGTCCGCCATCCATTCGGCGAGGCGGCCGGGCGTGCCGATGTCGTCGGCGGTGGGGACGAGGAGGCGCGCGCCGAGGAAGAGCGGCGTGAAGATGTCGCGCTGGATGGGGTCGTGGGCGATGCCGGAGAGCATGGTGAAGCGGTCGTTCTCGGAGAGCCCGAACGTCTCGGCCATCCAGGGGAAGTAGTAGGTGAGTGAGAAGTGGCGCCCTCGAACACCCTTGGGGATGCCCTCAGACCCGGAGGTGAATGACAGAGTCGGTGTAGAGTCGGGGCCCACGATAACGCCGGTGCCCTTCTCCTTGAGCGCAACCTGCTCGGCCAGGACGTCCTTCCCGCCGACCTCCCCTCCAACCAGCGTGCCATCATCTTGAATCGCCAGGGCCGGGACCTCCGTCAGGATATCCAGCTCGTTCGAAAGATAGTCGCGGACAAGAGCGCTCAGCGTCCCCGCCTTCTTGATAACCACCAACGCGCGCGGCTGCGCAACCTGCAGATATATGTTCTGCCTCGCGGGCGGATACGCCGGATCAATGACCGAGAACGTCGCGCCGGCCTTGAGCACGCCCATGACGGCCACCACCAGGTCCACGCCGCGGTGCGCATACACCATGACCACGTCCCCGCGCTTCACACCGCTGGCCACAAAGTGGTGGGCCAGGATGTTGGACGCCTCGTCGATGTGCCTGTACGTGAAGACCCTCGTCTTGCTCCCGGCGTCATAGATGCCCCCCGTCTCGACGACGCACTCGCGCTCGGGGTGCTTCCTGGCGTTCGCGCTGAAGATGTCGTGGATGGCGCCGCGGAAGGCGCCCCAGTGCAGGTCCTTGCGCGGGTCGGGGAGGATCTTGGCCTGCTCGGGCGTCTGCAGGGGGATGGAGGACACGGCGATCTCGGGGTTCTTGGCGCCGACTTGCACGATCTGCAGGAGCTGCGCGAGGAGGAAGGAGATGCGCTTGGTGGAGAACATGAGCTGGTTGTAGTGGGCGCTGAGGGCGATTTCGGGCACCTGCGGGACGGAGCGGAGGGAGGCGGAGGAGGCGGCGGCGGCGGCAGCGGGCGCGGAGAGCTCGACGAAGATGGACAGGTCGGTGGTGCTGGCGTGGGTGGAGAGGAACTGCTGGCTGGGGGCGTCGGGGGCGTGGTAGAGCGAGAGGTGGAAGAGGCAGGGCGGGGTGGAGGACTTTGTTGCCTGTTGGATGTGGGCCGTGAGGGCGGAGAAGGGGACGGAGTCGGCGGCGCCTTGCATCTCGAGCTATCACACAATCATCACACCAATCAGCAAATGCTATAAACCCCCCTCAAGACCCAGCGTAGACAGCCACAAACCTTCTTCACCTCGGCCAACAACCCCACAAACGTCGTCGCGGGCGTCACCGCCACCCGCAGCACAAACGGCTCCTTGCTCTCGGCCGTCGTGCCCAGCGCAATGTCCTCATCGCCCGTCAGCCGCGCCGCCAGCACCGCAAACGCCGCCAGCAGCACCGTGAACGGCGGCACGGGGTTGCTCCCGTCCAGGATGCCCAGCTGCAGCAGCGCGAGCCGCACGCCCTCGGGCACCGCCACGGAGTGCACGGCCTCGACGATGCGCGGCGGGTCCGGGCGGACATAGTCCGTTGGCAGCGACGGCGTGGTGAGCGAGCGCAGGCGCTCTTCCCAGCGGGCGAGACGCGCGGGGAGAGAGTCCGGGGTGGTCATGGTTGTCTGTCTCTCTGTACAATTGGGGGGGGGTACGATTTCTTTTCTTCAATGGTTCGCAGGAATTGGGGGAATAATTGGGGGAATAATTGGGGGGATAATTGGGGGGGGAATTGAGGTGGGTGTGGATTGCGGGGAAAGGTGTTTTATGTTGCGGTTGATCAGAGCTCTGACTCCTCTCCTCTCCTCTCTCGGTTTTTTTCTTTGGCGCAACCGCACGCCAAGCCAATTCCTTCCCCTCCCCCGCCATGACGCAGGGCAAGGCCGGGTAAACGTTTATCGAACTATCATCCTAGCGCTCGACGTCACCTCCGGAGATGCAGCTGATTCCTCTGATTTCCCACCGCAACCAACCACGAATGGACTCCCCCGACTCCCCCGACTCCCCCGACTCCCCCGACTCCCCCGACTCCCCCGACCCCTTCGCCCCCGGCTTCGGCACCTTCCAGGGCATCCCCCACCGCACGCTGCCGGACGACTGCATGGAGTACGCCCTCTTCGTGCCCGCCATCGCCGACGCTGCTGCCGCGAAGAAGCGGCTCGAAGCTGTGAAGGTGCTCGCAGAAGAGCTCGCGGCTAAATGGTCAGAGGGCTACATCTGGCAGCGCGAGGCGTTCGGGCTCGAGCTGAAGGAGAGGGCCGGGACGTGGTGCCTGCAGGGGCGCACGGAGTATGGGGATGCCGTGGGCGACGAGTGGTTTGTGGTGTGGATGCTGCGGGAGATGAGTGGGCGGTTTGCGGATCTGTGGATACGGTAATGACATTCTACACCAGTATTATTCACAGCCTTTTTGGGGGAGAGAGATCGTAGCTGGAGTACGGGCTCTAATGTAATCTACTTTCCAGAGTCTACGACACCGACGGCGAATTCCTGCTCATCGAGGCGGCCAACGCCCTCCCCAAATGGCTCAACCCCGAGATCGCCGACCACCGCGTCTGGATCAACTCCACGCACCTCCACATAATCCCCCTCACCGCCGTACCTCCCCCTCCCCCCACCACCCCCACCACCACCCCGCGCACAGCGCCCATCTCCCGCCCCCTCCCCCTCGCCGACGCCCTCTCCACCCTCCACCACTACACCACCACCACCCCGCCCCCCCCAACACTAACGCGCATCCGCCTCGTCGAAGAGGAATCCTTCTACCGCACCACGCGCTACCCCGCCGCCGCCGCGCGCAACGCCCACCACGCGCTCACAACCCTCCCCCGCCCCCTCGCGGCCCTCCTGCACGCGCACCCGGCCGCCGTCGCCGCCGCCGTCGAGGCCTTCTACCTCCGCGACCCCATCAGCCTCAAGGCCCTCTCCACCATGCACCACTTCCGCCCGGGCGCCGACGACGTCACCGTCTCCACGCAGTTCACGAAAACGCTCTACGCGCAGCTCAAAGGGCAGGAGTTCCAGCCGCCGCCCAGCGCCGGCTTCGCAGCGCGCCCCGGCGACAGCGCAGCGGATGTGGGGATGAAGCTGGCCTGCGGCTTCGAGATGCTCCTGCACGACGCGTCCGCGCCACAGCTCTCCTCGCCGTCGCGGCAGCGCACCGTGGCCACCGTCCGTTCGCATCTAGCTGCGGGGGCGGCGCTACCAACCGACGCCGAGATCGCCGCATGGCCGAAGCCAGTGGACGACGAGGCGTGGCTGGACGTCGATTACGCGCAGTTCGAGCAGACGCTGCAGGGGCGGCCGGGGCACAAGGGGACGCAGAACGAATCCGGGTGGGGGGACAAGGGGGCGGAGGAGAACCTGCGGCGGATGGTGGAGCGGTTCGAAGCGTTCTTGAATGATGATGAGGCCGGGGTTGAGGGCGCGGAGGTGGGGGATGATATGGATGTTGATGATGAGCTGAATTCGGGGGATGATGATGATGATGAGGATGAGGAGGAGGAGGGGGAGGAGGATAGAGAGGTGTCGTTTGATGAGCGGGAGTTTGAGAGGATGATGAGGGAGATGATGGGCATGCCGGTGTCGACGCTGGAGGGCGAGGAGGAGGGGGCGGATGAGGAGGCGGAGATTAGGAAGGTCATGAGGCAGGTTGAGGCGGAGCTGCGGGAGGCGGGGGCGCTGGAGACGGCGCTGCCAAAGCGGCGGATTAAAGAGGTTGGCGACAGTGGTGACGAGGATGAGGAAGAGGGAGAGGTGGATATCGATTATACCCTGGCCGCCAACATGCTGGAGAGCTTCAAGGGCCAAGGCGGGCTGGCGGGCCCCGGCGGAAATCTGCTGGCGCGGATGGGCATGAGCTTACCGCGGGACGAGGGGGGCGACCAGGAGAAAGGAAAGGGGGGAAATAGGGAGATTGGCGGCGAGAGAATGAAGTAGTACGTAGGGGGAAGAAAAAAAAGACCGATTCACTGGTAGTAATGAAGGGAAAGAAATACTTATGAGAAGGGAGCTAGGAGATATTTGACAGCACAGATTCTCTTGTAGACGCTTTTGCGTCGCAGCCGTTTGAAACCCGTGCGCGCTTGCAATGGTTTGGTGGAGGCGTGGTGGCGTGGGATAATGCTGCGTGCTAGCTATGCATATCGAGGTTTATTAAAAAACACTCAATAACCTTTTCTGTATAAAGGGGCCATATAATGAAGACCCTTTCTATTACAAAACGCGCGTTGAGCTTTTTTTTTTTTTTTTTTTTTTTGTGAGTAATGATACCGGCCAGTAACATCAACATTCAACGAGCAAATTTTTGTTGCCAAGAGGAGTCAGCAGTGTCTGCGCATCATGTACGATCACTCGGCCGCGCTCAAGGGACCGAGTGATGCGTCATGATTGAGAAGCACCAACTGTTGCTTGCGGCATGATGACGCTGAGCTAGAGGTCAATAATAGGCGTTGTCTTTAAAGACACACGAGCGTTATCCCTCGTATTGCGGTAGCACTCAAAGGTGTCCTGCGTCTGTTCCATACCCCTCTGATTATCAGTAAGCTGCATGATCTGCAGTAGACGGTCTAGACGCCACGTGCACTGCACGAATGCCCGAGATCTGAGTACAGCGAAAGCTTGCGATAGCTATAAGGCTACTGCATATATATAAATAAGGGTAATTAATCTTTAATATCTACCGGTTTCCGCCCCCCGCCCCCCCCTTTCTCTTTTTCTTTTTACTAGGAAAGAAGGGTAAAATCCGCTATCCCTTAGACCCTCAGGCCCGACGTAAATAGGGATCACTAGCCGCCGAACAAAGCAGGCAAATATGATACTATGAACTCTATGATCGACTGGCGGTGTTTGGTACCGCCTCCCACGACCTCACCGTGACACTATGAGCCTTTTTGGGCGTTCAACATATCACACCTGCTATATGCGGCTATATAGTGATCCCCCCCCATTTATATCGGGCCTGACGCGACGGCCTAAGGGGATAAGAATACCCTTATAATAGTATTATCGAAGATATTTTTGCTTTGGGGGGGGGGGGGGGGTGGGGGGGTGCCCTTCTAAAAAGCGTTGGGTTAGGGTTCAGAGCTTTTTTTTTTTTTTTTTTGTATCATGATTTAAAAAAGTGAGATATAATACTGGGATTATAAGACTGGGGCTCGGCTCGAGGGAATCAAACTAAACACTTTCTTTTTGACGGGGTCCGGGGTTCATGGTTCACAGATCATGTCTTTGTATTGAAAAAAATTCTTTTCTCCCCTGAAAAGGTACATGTAACTTCCCTATAAGGGTAGAGTCTTCCGGTCCCGAGCGTACTATTATAGAAAGCTTTCGCTGTATGCAGAAGACACAGAAACCAGTGCCGGAACAGAAAACTAAATACCAAGACATAATTGCGCTATCAAATACGTACCATTACAATTGGCCCTCAGATCAAAGATGAGAGCAACATTCACCCCACAGCCGATGTACAGCTACCATGCGCAATACAGCGAGAGGTAGAATCATTGTAGAAACAGGGGTATAAAAACAGGGTTTAGGCGGCTGACTCGGCCACCAAGACTCTTCCCATACTTCTACAATAATTTTTACCTCGCGCTGTATACCTTGCGGGTATGCAATATCTCTCTTTTGGGATGAAAAAGAAGCAAATATTACTAGTACGCACCCGACCTTTTTGCCTTGGCTGACTACCACCTGGAAATGGCGGGGTTCGCTATCGAGACAGGTTTACCACTATATTGCCAGGAACAACTGTAGTACTAGTATGATTAGGTAGCCTCGTGTTTTGCCCCGCCAGGTTGCAAGGCAGTTTCTGTTAGTTGGAGACGTTACACAACCGACCAGTAGCGCAAACACTCGCAGGTACATACATGTATGTAGATGTATGCATAACGTAATTGGGAGCAGACTGCAAAGATGACACTGGCATGCCTGGTATTACATGTAATTAGAGTAGTATGAGGATATCAATTATTCTTCTCAGCTGAGAGAACTACGAGAGTTGGCTAATGATGGTAGGCGGGCAATTACTGCACCGGGGATAGAAGTATTGGAGCTGGAAAGTAAGAAGGAGGAAGTACTATAACGATGGCTTGACCTGACTGTTATTCCAAGTTTTATATGAGCCTCTACTACCGGAGGCGGTGGGCAACTGCGAGAGCTGGCCATGGGTAGATAATCCCGTTCCAAGGTAAGAGCAACAAAAAGGAGAGGCATCCCGCTCTGCTCCTTCCCACCCAGTCACACAGTGTTTCCACCAAGCCTGGGAGGTGGGCGATTCGGGCCGCCGACCTCGGCCCCTCTGGGCGACACCATAGCCACTGGGCTACGGCGGTAGATTGTATGGATTTTCCTAATGCTCTTATGGAGGGGTGGGTGTTACTAGTGGCTCCTGCTGTAAGACAACTACCGTTAGGGGTTCAGTCCCAACTATTCCAGGGCGCTGGTTTGCTGGTGCTCCGGGATACTTGTATAACTACCGCAGGCGGGCTGTAAAAGTCAGCTCATTGCAGCAAGCCCTGTACGCACAAGATCGCCAAAGAGAAACTACCAATATATATTGACTGCGTGTTATCGGTATGGCATGTTCCTCCGACAGGACAGAGAACTCAAGGGAGCTTCTATCCAGAGTATGGATATAAATACTGCCGTGTATGCCCACTTACTAATAGCATCTAACTTTCTATCCTATATATGAATAGAAACTCTTACCTTCGTTATCGTTACTCCTCACCCCAACATAGGCATCTTGGATAGCGATAACCAAGGGCACCACAATCTAAATGGCCGGGAGCTTCAGCCGAATCGCCAACATAATTGGAATCGTGAAATTCACTAGGGATCTCATCAACGCCAGCCGCCATTACGTCTTCGGCACCGAGCGTATCCTCAAAGCTTTCGACAATCTCGTCACTGAGCTCATTGATCTCGAAAAGCTCCTTAAGTCTGTACAAGACCACTTCGACTCCAACCCCAGCTCCTTAGTCACTGTTCTGGACGGGTGGATAAGTGAGCTGGTGGGGCTCAACAAGCCGAAGGATAGAGGCTGGTTTAGGGAGTGGTTTGAATGGGACCGGAGGTAGATAGAGTTGCAGGCGTCTGTGGCGAGGGTGGAGGGGGTGAAGCGTTGGGTTATGCTGATCTTGATTACGGTTCAGATGTGGGTAGATTGGTCTTAGCTTCTAGAGTTTTGAACAGTACTAATTGTGTAGAGATGTAGATAGGCCTAAGAATATAGCGTCAGAAACGAAGAGACCAGCGAATAATGCGAGCCCCGACATTCAAGAGGTTCAGGTTGAGTCTACCACGCAGAATTCCTGGAGGACCAAGGAAGAGTATCGTCAACGTCTTGGTAAGGATTTGAACCTCACATGCATAAACCAAGAACAATAATTCTGGATCATCCACTAAAATAAGTAAGTAAATAGAAGAAATTCGTAAGGAAATACGTAGCTTCCTAGCAATAGCTAAACCCTACAGACCTCTAAGAAAAACAGAGCTTTAGATTGAATCTGGGACCGAGCAGAAGAATAATCGGCCTGGTATAATAAGAATTAATCCCACAGGATAATGCTGGTTCCACTAACACAAAACAGAGGAAATTCGTGGAAAAATAATCAGTTGGCTATATTCTAGACCCCACAGACTTCCAAGAAAAGCACAACCTCGATAAACAATTGCAAATGCCGCCAAATCGGGCACCAGAGAATGAATTCTGCACACCACAAAGCACACCGCAGAACACACCACGGAGTTCGGTGTAGAGACGTAAAACCGAGTACTCCACGGCCATCATATGCTTGATTTGGGGCTAGGGTCTCCGTGGATCTCCTGCGAATGCATATCTAGACAGCTACATGTAGTTACGGCCAGCATTAGTATAATAAAATGAACAGCTGGAGCATGCAGGAAAGATCTTTCAAATGAACAAGCTCAAAAAGCTCCAGCTCAACCTGATGCTGTAGTTGCCGCTGAGTAATGCGTCAGCGATTGGGCACCAGGGGGTGATATGCATGCTGGCGTATGACGGGGCGGATATATATATATAGCGCGCCAGCGGACGATGTATGTATTAGGCCACCCCGCATAAACCTTAAACCTTGAACCACCCCACATACCGACACGTCTTTGCTCCTCAGACACCAAAGATGAGGAGGACGAGCACTTGCCTCAACTCTCTGCCCTTCTTCCCTGTATATATATTTATTGCCACTTTATACAGTTATCTCTTCATGCTTCATTTACATCCGCAGCTAAAGGGAAAAAAAAAGTCTGAAAAAAACAGGCCCCGGGGGGGAATCGAACCCCATCTCCATGGCAAACGTCCTACTGATATATCGGTACCCAGGCAGGTACGTCTAATTCTATAAGAACCATCAATTGACCAACCTCCACACTGCAAGTTGATTAATGCGCACTATTCAACTCCCACGAAAATTTAACGCAATTAATAGCTCCCCGAATCCTATCAGGCAACGGCTCACTTTAAATCTTTCATGGCCAATTATCTGGCTCGATCGCGAGCTCAATAGACGGATTCGTTGGTAGTGTTGGGCACGAGCCGAGCTGGCTCGAACACCTAGAGCTCTCTTTACCACAAGCTCAAGCCAGCTCGATTCAAGACTAAAAAGGCTCGAGCCTTCTGAATTGTTAGTAATTGGTTGATCAATTGATCTTAAGATCATAATTATGGCAAAATGGGATAATAAAATCAAGAAAGATCCTCAGAGTTCGTGTTCAAGAATGAAAGCTGAATCAAGATAACTATTTTTAGGCATAATAATAGAAGCTCGAGCCTCGCTCTGAGCCTAGTTCCTGAGCTCGAACAACTCAAGCCTTTGTTCACACAATTCGCGCCAGCTCGAGCTCCAGGCCAGGCTCGTGCCCAACACTAGAATTCAACGATATATGCGGTCGACGTCCAGAATTGAGCCATTAGCTACAAGTTCACACCCGGATCCACCGGCCTGAGCTTGAGAAGGATTAAGGATCTTCCTGTCTAGTTAGCCCTTTATTTTTCCTCTCGCGGCATCGGCTGTATCGGCGTGAGATCGGCATTAGCGGACTGTTGCATTTTAGGCCTTTTGTGACGTTTGTATCTCAAACATCAATTTCAAACTGCTTAAACGCATATGGCTCACGATATTTTCTGACAGGTATATATTTCAAATATAAACGATATACGGGTGTCGATCTGGTAAAACCGTCAGCACAGCCAAATTAATACTTATTCCGAAGAACCACGCAACGTACCGATTAACTCCAAATCTTCCTAAAGCTCAGATCAGAGAGCCTTGCATGGCGAGGGCTCTGAATTGATTTTCAACAACTTGATGTCCCATCGATTCGAGGCTAGTGTAGAGCGTTGCCGCACAGGTCCCTTTCAATTAATTGACATCCATATATATAATTAACATAGATATAGTTTGATTCCTTGATCTCGAATCCACTCAGTAGCACCCAGCAGGCTGCATACCAAGTGGGGCAGAGGCTAGGAGGGCTATGAGAGCCGGGGGGAGGAAAGGTGCCATGGGAGGAGGCTGAATATATATATAAGGTTATAAGCTAACTAGGCTGGCTTTCATATATATCGACTTTATTTTTATCTTTTTTTTATTCTTATCTTTTTTTTTATTTTCATCTTTTTCTGATTTTTCATTTATTTTTGTCGATTTTCTTTTTTTTTGGTCTTTTTTATCTTTTTTTTTTTATTTTTTTTAATTTTTTTAATTTTTTAATTTTTTTTTTTAATTTTTTAATTTTTAGTTTTTAGTTTTTAGTTTTTAGTTTTTAGTTTTTTGAATCTTTTTATATTAAAACCGTGTTTTTTCTTTCTATATTTTTTAGATTTTTCGACTCTTTAATTTGTTTGATTCTTTTCTTTGATTCTTTTTCTTTTGATCTTTATTTTTTATTTTTTTTCTTTATTTTTCGGTTTTATTTTTCTATGATTCTTTGATTCTTTGATTCTTTGATTCTTTGATTCTTTGATTCTTCTTTTTCTCTTTCTTTTTCTGAATCCTCTTGACGGAATCCAAGAGGTTCTGGATCAATAGGCTATAGAGCCAAAGAGTAGAGGGAAGGAAGGAGAAGGGGTAATGCCATGGGTAGGCTGATCGCAGACACGATGAAGGCCAAAGACCATCCAACAGTGCGCATAGAAGATCGAGGTGCAGTAACATGATGAAGAGGGAAGAAAGAAAGGAAGGAATGAGGGCGGGAAGCAGGAGCTTTTATAGCTGCTCGGGCGGGCTAATTGCACAGTCTATCAAGGTGTAAAAGGTGTAATCGTGACCTCATCAAACTTTAATTTTCTGTAACCCGCGGCCGTGGAAATATCTAGAAGGCGCGCGCGCGTCATAAAGAACAGCTTGGAGTGTTTGCGAACTCTATGCGATTCTGCGGAACGCTTAAGATCAGTCGTGTGATCACTGAGCAAACAGTTCGTGAAGGTTCCATATATAGAAACACGCCGCTAGAGGTTTTGCACCGTACGTGGAATGTTGAACTTGGACTCATATAATAGGTTCATACCTCGTTCTATATAGCTCTGGGCAGCAAACTGCTTCATGTATCTCTCGTAAATAGGGCCTTTGTGAATTTGGGAGTGATTCGGGTGTACGTTCGAGTTTATTTCGACTTGCTCTTGATTTCGATCGTGAATTACAGACATGATTTAGCTAGTCAGAGTATCGATCCGTTTCCTATTTATATATTGCAACTACATAGGAGAGGTGACGCATAATTACATACATGCAGGTAAAGGGAGCGGATACACTACAGCGGACTAACAACAACCGCAACTGAAAATAGTACAAATAGCGCACAGAGCAGGAACGCCCAACTACCCTGCCAAGCCCACCCTCTGCATCAACCCCTCGAGTGACTCACCATGATACAGAAACCCTAACCCCAGATCATCTGTTATCTCTCGTTGCCAGCCCAGTCCAGATCACAATGTTTGGTACCCCTCCCCCGCCCTTTCTGTTTCCACCCAACCACAATAAACCCGCCCGTTCAACCCGCTCCTTTATTTTTTCCTTCTTCTCCCAGTTTGCTGTCGCTAGTTCCAAGCAGTTCCAGATTCTAAAGTAAGAAAGAAATCATGCTCGACGTTCTCAGCTTTATCGAGGCGAGGGGGGGGAACCCAGAGGCGATCCGCGAGAGCCAGCGCCGCAGACACGCCCCGGTGGAAGCTGTGGACGAGGTGATCGCGATGTTCGAGGGGGCCAGAGTCGGTAAGCTTTTCATTGGGGGCGGGGCGGGGCGGGGCGGCCTTTTTAGTGGTCTTTACTGACGGTGGTTGGCCCTGCTGCAGCAAGATACAACGTCAACCAGAAGGGGAGCGAGATCAACATCAACCAAAAAGAGATCGGGGCCAAGAAGAAGGTGACTTATACCTCGCCGGTTCATGAGATGTCACTTCACGGTTGCACAGGTGCGCTGACTCGCGGGTACACAACAGGCCAAGGAGGATGCGACTGAGCTTCTCGGGAAGAAGGTTAAGCTCGAAGCTGAGAAGAAGGATCTTGAGGCGCTCGCGGTTGAGAAGGAGAAGGCCCTCAATGCAAAGTTGGGCACGATCGGGAACTTGGTCCATGACACTGTGCCAATGAGCAACAACGAGGTGAATACTTGCTCTTCCCTTCTCTGTAACTACACAAGTATATGATGGTCTAATATAGTTACCCGCCAGGATGACAATGAACTGATCCGCACCTGGGCCCCCGAAGGCTTCAAAGTCGAGAAGCGCGACTGCCTCTCGCACCACGACGTGCTGACCCGCCTGGACGGGTACGAGGCCGAGCGCGGCGTCAAGGTCGTCGGCCACCGCGGCTACTTCCTCAAGCGCTGGGGCGTCTTCCTCAACCAGGCGCTCATCAACTACGGGCTCGAGTTCCTCTCCGAGAAGGGCTACACCCCCCTGCAGGCGCCCCAGTTCATGCTCAAGGACATGATGGCCAAGACGGCGCAGCTCGAGCAGTTCGACGAGGAGCTCTACAAGGTCGTTGACGGCGACGAGCAGAACGACAAGTACCTCATTGCCACCTCCGAGCAGCCGATCTCGGCGCTGCATGCGGACGAGTGGCTGATGAGCAAGGAGCTGCCGATTCACTATGCGGGCTTTTCGTCGTGCTACAGGCGTGAGGCTGGGTCGCATGGGAAGGATGCGTGGGGTATTTTCCGTGTTCACCAGTTCGAAAAGGTTTCGACTTTCTACTTTCCTCTACTCTACCTACTACTTCTATCGTTACTTTGATGCTAAAAGATGACAATAAATAGGTCGAGCAATTCGTCATCACCGAGCCCGAAAAGTCCTGGGAGGAGTTCGACAAGATGATCGCCTACAGCGAGGAGTTCTACCAGTCGCTCGGCATCCCCTACCGCGTTGTCGCCATCGTCTCCGGCGCGCTCAACAACGCCGCCGCCAAGAAATACGATCTCGAGGCTTGGTTCCCCTTCCAGGGCGAGTACAAGGAGCTCGTCTCCTGCTCAAACTGCACAGACTACCAGTCCAGGAACCTCGAGATCAGATACGGTACAAAGACCCAGACTGAGGCTAACAAGAAGTATGTCCACTGCTTGAACTCGACGCTGTGTGCCACTGAGAGAGCGCTGTGCTGCTTGATGGAGAACTACCAGACTGAGGAGGTAAGATATTTTCCCTTGAGTGAGTGAAAGCATTGAATACTGAGTCGAATAGGGTATGAACATCCCCGAGCCGCTTCGTAAATACATTCCTGGTGCTCCGGACTTTATTCCTTTCTCCAAGGAGCTCTCGAGCAACAGCACCTCATTGCGCAAGGGCGCTTCCAAGCCGAAGGCCAAAGCAGAGAAATCCGAGAAGGCAGAGGCAAAATAGACAACAAATTTATTTTCATCCTGATATACCCCGGGGGTAAGACTTTTATGTAGATATAGATTTTTTTTTCAAGCGGCCGGGAGTGAATAACAAAGATTGGTTCTGGGTATGTGACTCTAGCCAAAACCCGGATGAAGAGAAACTACACCGTGTGATATTTCATGAATACATAAAGTTAAACCGTTAGTTATAAGCTAAAAGATCATGCATGAAAGACAAAGCCCTATATATATATTTTTTTATTTCCGAATTCCCCTGGTCCCATTCAATACATTATAAACTTTAAAAATATTTAGTTCTTTAACAGGCCTCAATGACGATCGCAGAAGCACCACCTCCGCCGTTGCAGATACCAGCGGCACCAATCTTTGCGCCCTTCTGCTTGAGTACATTTATCAATGTGGTGACAATTCTTGCGCCAGAGCATCCAAGGGGATGTCCAAGAGCGACAGCACCACCGTTAACGTTGACCTTCTCGGCATCGATTCCGAGAATCTTCAAGTTTGCAAGAGCAACTACTGAGAAAGCCTCGTTGATCTCGTAGTAGTCGACTTGCTCCTGGGAGACCTTGGCATGCTTCAAAGCCTTGGGGATGGCGAGAGAGGGGGCGGTAGTGAACTCTGAGGGCTGCTTGGCGGCCTCACCCCAACCAAGAATCTTGGCAAGAGGGGTGAGGTTAAGAGACTTAAGAGTTGCCACAGAGACAAGGACAACGGCAGAGGCTCCGTCGGAGATGGGGGAGGCGTTGGGAGCTGTCACGGTACCTGTGGCAATGAAGACAGGGCGGACGGTTTTGAGTTTCTCGGCGTTGAGCTGGAAATAAGTCAGCTATCGCGGTAGATCAGAATGGCATGGACATCGGGTAGAATTACGTTCTTGGGCTCGTCATCGCAGTCAACGACCTTGTTTGGCTTTCCTCTACCTCCAGAAACCTCAATTGGGGCAATCTCCTCCTTGAAGAGACCATTTGCCACAGCGGCCTGGGCCTTCTGGTATGAGTTGATAGCATAGGTATCCTGGTCTTCCCTGGTGAAGGTGTAGTCGTTGGCGCACTTCTCAGCTGCGAAACCCATTGCCTGGTTGTCGTATGCGTCTGAAAGACCATCACGAACAACACCATCAACCATCTGCTGGTTTCCGTAGCGGGCCCCGGAACGTGCGGTGGGGATGTAGTATGGGGTATTTGACATAGACTCAGTTCCTCCAGCTACGACAATGTCGGCGCAGCCAGTAAGAATTGTCTGGGCACCAAGGATGATGGCCTTCAAACTGGAGGCACAGACTTTGTTAACTGTGGTGCAGACGGTTGTGTCCTTAAGCCCAGCACCAATGGCACACTGGCGAGCTGGGTTCTGTCCCAAGCTATTGTTTAAAGTTGTGTCAGTGTTTGTGGAGCTTATAGGGGGTTTCTGGCTCCCAATTGGATGCAAATTCAAGCAGAATGGTCTTACTTTGCGGAGAGAACATTTCCCATAAAGACCTCCTCGACCGCTGAAGGGTCGATCTCGGGGACCTTAGCAAGAGCTGATTTAATGGCATGAGCTCCCAATTGAGTGGCAGTCAAAGAAGCCAAAGAGCTGTGATAGTTTGCGATGAATTGTCAGTTGTCTGGCTAACGGCACGATTTTTTTTCAAGCTACTACTCACCCCTGGAAACCTCCCAGAGGAGTTCTGGCAGCGGCAACGATGTAGACAGCGTCAGACATTTTTAGAGATTATTAAAAAGATGATGGAATTGAATTCGATTAGACAAAAGCTGATGTAGAGAAAGGAGGTTGATGGGTTAGAGTAACGAAACGAAATGAATCCCGTCGCTGGTGGCGGGGAGTTTATGTAGGGAAGCTCCTCGGCGGGGTTGTGTTGTCGACCAGCTGCAGGGTGCAGTGTAACTAACCCTATTCGTCCTGATGGCTGGCTAGGCAGGGTCCGAGCGCATTGGTTGCACCTGTTGAGTAAACATAAACATTTCACCTTCTTCTTGCTTCATGCAGCGCTTTCTTCAACGTTCGATGGTTTGTTGAAGTGTGATGGGCTCAACGCTTTCTGCTACTCAAAGAGGTCAAGTTCAGGGGAAACAGGAGCCGCTGTCGCACAAGCACATCGGGATTCTCCTCGGCTTGCCGACCAGGATTAGTATTCCCAACAAGCTTAACTGATCTACGGGAGTATCGTATGATGATTATCTTGTTTCTGGGTTTGTCAGCTTATCTACAACAACAGATTGATTCCATCGAGAGAGGTTGCGCGTACCCATGTGCGGAAGAAGCTCCGTCAATGGCTCTCTATAATGTGGCTGAGTTGAAGAAATCGCTCTCATGAAACATAAGATTGGACCTCATTTTGTTTGTACACACGTCTCTGGGACTCTCCTTTACGTCACTATCGTACCATCAGCTCTCACAAAGCTACAACGAATACAAGTGAGTTAGAACACCTAGCTACATAGATTTACAGCTCAAACGCTCGATCTAATTAACCACCAAAGGAATCTCACGAACTAAACCTCAGGCCGGCATATGATAAGAACGATACACAAGCTGCGCCATGCCGAACGGGGTAAGCTCCCGGCGACAGAGGCTTCGATCTTATCTCCCCGATAAAGTGGTTATAGATTTAGATTTGGCAAGGCTCGAGGCTTGGGCATAGTATTTTATTGGGTAAACTAGCATCTCGATTTGGATAGGATCGTTCACTCTATCACCAGTCCCACCTCGGCCGATTGAAAGAGGATCACAAATCTGGGTCGCCATAATCACTAAACATCTTCAAGGAATCCGTCTTCCCCGGGACAGCGTACCCCTCGGTGAGATTTATGGCCTTCATTGGGTACTGGGGACTCGTGATGCAGATTGCTATATTGAGTGTGAGCCAATCATACACACTACTTGGAGATGCAGTGGTCGCCGTTACTGCAGAGTCACTGCAGATATTATAGACCATAGGCAGAAGCTACAAGAAGAGACATTGCTTCATAGGAACCAGCCCTTCAGGCCTTGACATGGTTGCAGTATACTTATACTGTTGCAGTGTGGATATGGAGCGATTTATATCATCTAATACCTAAATTTAACATTCACTATTATAGAGAAATCTTACCATGAGCAGAGATCTGGCCGTTCAAATCATCACCAAAAATGGCATCTAGAACATCTGTTGTGGGGTTGACGAGCTAGTTATTCTATCTCATGATCTAGCATCGAGCGTAACCATGTCTCAACCACACGGGCTGATAATTAATACATTTCAAGCTTGTGCACGTACCTGTCTCGAGATAGCATCTAATGATTTATATTCCTCTCTGGGGTTTTTGGTGAGGAAACTAGATGTAGTTGGTCTTTTACAACCCGGGGGTACGAAAGATTCTAGGAAGTATTCCTAGCTGAACAGCAAAAACGAAGGGAGTGCGGGCGGGTTCAAGCCCTAACTGTAGTATAACCACTTCGGAAAGTGTTCATAGTTCCAAATCGGTTAATTTTCTGCTCCCCTTTTTTGTGCCTTAAGCAGAGGCTCATCAGAACGTTACACTTACTGTCTCTCATCCGAAATTCTTTTGATAATTAATTACGACCAGTAACTACTAAAACCTGAGCGTCAGCGATTGAAGCCCAACAATGACACCAGAAATTTAAGCACGTTTTTGATGTTCCTCTTTACGTCGAAGCACTAGATACTAACTACATGTACTCTACCACCACTATCACAGTTACTAATGAAGTCTACTATCCTCTTGCAGCTCTTTCTCCCAGCTTTACAAGCGGCCGAGATAGTAGGATACCTATGACTGGCTGGGTGTCGTTTCCCTCTTACTGTTCATCTAATCCTAGGCCTGTAGCGCCAAGCCAACCGCAATATGACATTGAAAGAGAATAATAATACACGGACTGCACTACCTGCTGAACTAGCTTGGTGTTCAGCGAAATGCCAAAGTCTACATCTGTTTATAACTACATTCCATGTACAAGATACATATACAGAGAATTTCTGTAAAATCTGGGGTTAGAGACAGGAGGTGGAAAACTGCGAGTGATGGTCTGTGATCCACAACCCACCACGAGCTCCCCACGCCTTACCGGGCTAGTGACATTGTTTGGGCACTCTGAGAAAATAGAGGCGCGAAATTTGATACAGTGTATCATTAAACACAACCTACCACTTATTCAAAGCATGATACGATCTAAAATAGCTAATGCAGCACACACCTGGTACGTGATCCTCTCTTCCTGCATGTATGTAATCTGCAAAGATATTTGCAACCCGTATATCCTGACGTATGTCTAACTACAACAGCGCATCAGTGGTAACTCGTCTGATATTACCAATAATACATGATGTAGTATCACGTACTAGCTATTATTCACGAGAAAGCAATTTGATACGCGTATTTTTGTAGCACTTCCAAGACTTCAATCCGGAATAATGCGATATTCAAAGTCCAAAGTCCCACATCAATGCAGATCTATCCTCCAGCCTAGTTCATTACTGCTTTTTCGCAAGCCCGAAGGTTGATTCATTCCATTCGTAATTCTTTGCAAGCTTCAGATTCAGCCCCAACAGTGTCTCGCCCGCAAATCGATCGGTTGGATACGGTCTATATATATTGATTTGCTTCCAATTGTTATTCGAGTTGTTTGGTACAATTCTTGCCACGCTCGTGTCTGTCTTGAAGGTGAATCCAGCATCGGTCATAGCATACTCGAATGCGGGCCATGCAATGGTGCCATCTAGCTCAGCACGAAAGATCTTGCGCAATGTTTTGAGAGCAGAAGCTGTTACCAAGATGGTAGGAGCACGAGATGCAGAAGTGGTTAAGTTCGCACCCGACTTAGGTGGAGAAGGTTTCCTCTCAAGAGTGCGGTAGGTGGACTTAAGTTGTTGGCCAACACCAAATTCTATACGATGAAATAAACCAATCGACGTTGGCAGAGTATTGAGCCCCACTTCATAATTCTCGAGCAACTGGTTTATACACGCGTATGCTATCTGAGCAAAACTTCCGGTTGTTTTGGCCTGACCTTTCAAGTCAAATTTTGGAAAATACCAGTTCGCCCAATCCAACGTCTTCCAAACCCTACCCGGGTCCGATGACACTTGATCATCCGGCGTGTCCATGGCAGTGGGGGTCATCAACACTGGTAAACCCCACAAATCTTCACATCGCTCCATAAACGTAGAAATTATAGAAACATTAGCCAAAGCCTCCCCTAACCCCTCAGAAATGTTCTCACGAGTCTGCGGAACTCTCTCAATGTACTCATTTATCTCTTTCAACAGCCTTGAAACATCTTTGGGTGTAAGTGCGGCGTCCGCAAGCGATAACATCCAGCATGTAAACTCTGATTTCTTTAGTAAATCTCTCATGGATATCGTCTTCTTAAGCTTCATGATCGGGGTTTTTTTGCTAGATAGATCTTTTGGGTTTGTCGTGGTATAATATCCCGCATAATTCTCATCGGTCATTAAAAACCAACGAAACTTAGCTCGTGTACGGTTGAGCTCCTTGCCAGCGGTTTTCCAAATTCTGAAAGGGCTAAAAACAGGGAAGACCCGTGAAGTTAAAAGCATGTAGATGAGATTCCAGTACGCTTGTGATGCATACGAATCCTTGAGGTAATTCAGAACAGCAGCGGAGGTAATGATGATGGGGTCATGATCAGAGCTTCTTTTGATGAATTCTGCATCTGGGTGGTTGATGCTGTGAGATAAGTGGAAATTATTGACAGCATGATAGAGATACAATGGTTCGTTGCGGAGGAAGGTACAATGGTCACGGACCGAGTAAAGAGCTGTGTGAGCGTCAAATATAAGACAAGTAAATCTTGGATCCATTGTATACGAGGGGCGGCAATTCCACGCGGGCCTGAGATTCGTGCCTGTTATGGGATTTAAATTTCCTTTTGTGTCGGAATCTGAGGGGAATTTACGAGCGTGGCCATGTTTTGATTCCTCGAAATTTTTCACTAGTACCAGTGTCTGTAGGTATTTCGTAAAGGTTTCGAAGAATTTATATGTATAGTGCTGACGTTCAAGTAACAGGAGCCCCACATTCTCGCTCGTAAACAATCCGTTTTTTTGTGCGGCGACTGAGTTATCGACATCTTTCTTGTCCTTGGATGCGTGTTGCTCTGATCTGGTCTCCAAAACTTCGCCCCAATTTCCGGCTTCAAATACCATTTTCATCCCGGTGCGAGCGTCTGGATGAATTAAGTTATGGTCTTTGATACATCTAAGCACGTTTGCCAATTCGACAGGGAGCAGTTCAGATAGAGGGGCATCAGCATACATGCCCATCAACAGGAAGGGCATGGTTCCCACGACTAAATGTTTTATGGCCATATCGGAGGACGTGCATAGGTAGTGGAGTCTCGATTTAAACTCATCCTAAAATATAGTTAGAATGCAAAAGAGTAAAGGTTAATTAATTGTCTCTAACTTACAGAATATTCTTTAGTTGGAAAAACATGAGTAAGTGCATCTTTAGTATACGTACAGCATATGGTGAGGAATTTCTCTCGCTGCTCCGGAGAATAATTTATCCATGTAGGTTTAATAGACTTCCAGACTCCCCAGTAACAGTCTTGAAATTCTTTTCGTGCAGCGAGTACAACATCTCCGCTGATATGGGGAGCTAAATCTATGTCAGAACGAAATAACGAATGTTTGGAGGCGAAAGGAATACATATCTACCTTTGGATGAAGACATGCTGCCGATATTTACCTTAGGTCTTCTGGAGTATAGACGTTATGAGGATAAAACCCGAAAACCAAAGATGATACGTATCTGTATTGGGAAGATACGTATAGTCGACTTGAGGTGACAGAAGAGTGTTCGGATTTAAACGGCACAGGATAGCGGGGTAGAGCTTTGTAAATCAATTATACCTACATTTTCTAATTAGGTAACTGAAACCAACTATGTCTCAGCGGATAATACGGGCCACAATTCATAAAGGAATACATGTACGTATACCGCAGTATTTGAGAAAATTCGTTGCGCTGCAGCAGGGGTATTCTCTACCAAAACTTGCATATTGACGTCCAAATACTGCCTCTGGTTGGCTTATACCCCTGCTGAGGCGCAACGAATATTCTCAAATACAGCGGTATCTGGCACTTACTACTCGGGGCAGGTAAAAAGTACCGTACAATGCAGGTTTTTGGTTCACCAATGGGTGCGCGTGCTAGGCGTGAACTACTGCAAAAAAAGCCCAGAGACAAAACTTGCATTGTCCGGTACTCTTTACCTGCCCCGAGTACGTACATGTACGTGTATCTACCATGCATCTCAGCTCAGACCTGTACATGTATGTACGTAGGACGCAAGCCCGAGGATGCGCGCATGTCGATTGCCACATAAATGTATATAAGTACAAGTATGTACTTGAGTTAGATATAAACCTAGTCTCGTTCCCAGACTGTTTTTGTTGTCGCACTGCGTGCAGACACATATAAACCTATAAAATATACCTGAATGCATTGGTCATGGTAATATAGAGAACTTAGTTTAAACATCTCGAAGCAACTTATACATGTCCACTTCGAGACAAAGACCCACAGTCGGACAGTTTTTGATCATGATACGGAGGATATGTATATATCTATGTATTCGAATCTTCCTCCCGCAAGCTTGAGTCCAGGAAATATATACTCAAAGCGCTAATTAAACCTACAACTTAAGTCCTTTTTTACTACGTATCCCTGGATGCCATATACTGTGTAATATAAAATGCTCGCAAGTTCTTAGAAATGACGAACCTTGCCTTATACGCTCCATGAATGTACATGTAGTCAAGGGATTCTACCATTTGTCTGTCTGTATAGCTGTTGTCGACCATGTCGATATAATCATCTAGCTACTAAAAAAACGGGGCCAGGTCAGCTCCTCCTCGCTTGCCTTAGATGAAGTATATGTAGAGTAGGTATGTAGTTACACATAGATGTGTCTTTGTCCTCAGAAGCCGATATAGCGAATCCTAGCTCTTGCTACAGCATCCAACAATAAGCTGATGTCTAGACAACCTATCACACGAGCCTCTCTGCAACCCTCGTCAGTGACCCTGCCAAGTTCGTCCCCATTTGCAGTTAGCGTGTTTTTTGCAACGCGCAGTGGGAACATCCGCATGTCTTCGTGACGTGACGCGAGACTTGCTCTATTCAATCAATCAATCCAATCGATCCTTTCACACGTCTTCCCCCCACCCATTCCCCGCTTCATTCCTGAGAATCGGGATGAGCTTTGAATCTATACCTTCATATCCAGTCTTGTTGTCGCGACCTTTGCTCACCCTATCTACACCATGGTAAGCTTCGGAGGTGTGCTAGGCTAGATTATCTACTAACAGAAAGTGGTAGTCCTCTTTCATTCCACTCAATGTATACCCTGATTCCGATTCTGAGGGTGAAGCCGACAATACCCAGGAGATTCAGGTGCCCTCCCGTGCCCGCGAATTCCACTCTACGGGAGTGCTGACTGACCCCCCAGATCGAAGAAGCCCTGAAACTCTACCAGCGAGCGCTCAAGCTCCACACTGATGGTGAATGGGACGAAGCTCACAAAGCTTACGACGAACTTTTCAGCAGCGATATATTTCAAGCCGACAGCCTTAGTGGTGATATTGACGATGAGCAGGTGCCGAATGCTTCACAAACAGAACCACCCAATAATTCAGATTCTAATAGGTATCACAGGTCCACGCCCGCAATACATCATCAGCCTCCTCTCTGCCGCTTATTCTCTACCTCGCATACAAGAACCATGGTGCCTTTAAGTTGGACAAACTTCACGCGACTGGCGGCGACGCCTCGACCCTCTTGTCTACGATCCACCAAGCGCTAGAATGGTTTTCCACCGCTCTCGGCCGCGACGCCGGTGACCCTTCATTATGGCGCAAGTCCGCACAGCTCGCTCTCGCAATTGATTCTTCGAGACTCGCTCGGTTCGCACTAGAGAGTATACTAGACCATGATACGGTCGGTGCGGACACTGCTAGCGACGCTCTTTCGCTAGTTATGGGCGGTGTTCCAAATCCAGAGGAACATTTAGCTAGTATACGGTTGCGAGATGTTATGCGTAAGATCTGCGATACGGTAGCACTCTCAAATCCTAGGTTTGTTAAGATTGCGAAACGGAAGATTCAACCGAAATTTGAGAAATTCGTGAATCCATACCCATGGCTCCCGCTACCAGCTCCGGAAGCGCAAAAGACACTGGGGGAGGCCCTCGGAACTATAAGCGACAGGAAACAGGTTGTAGTTGTGCCTACAAGGACTTGGGCAGCAGCCGGGAGAGCAATATTGTCACATCTAGTACCAGAAGCCGCAGAAGAGGCGGAGATCAACACATCCAGTGTCCTTCAAATTGTAATCCCAACATTTGAAGGGGAGGATCTTTCTCGGGACACAACACCCGAGGAACCAACACCCCCCGAATTAGCGGGTAAGAGTGAACTACCAGCGGCGAGCGACAATGATGATATTGCCATGACAGATGCATCCGCTGGCGCCAATCTCTCAGTAAATGGGCGACGAAGAAGCGGTTCTGCTGCACGAAAACGAAAGAGCGCGAGTTTAGGAGCGAACGAAGGGGATGCCGGAAGAAGTAGACTAAGTAAGCGACAACGGGATAAGAAAGAAGCCGATGCAGCGGCAGCAGCCGCAGCGGCGGCTGCACCAGATAGCAAAGCAAAAGTTCGGCAGGAAACACAGGATGAGAAACTCTTTAATACAGCAGATGAGCTCTTTTCGCCGTTGGGAATTCACTTAGGAACTGCATCGAGCCTTAAGATTAAAACCGAGCCTACCGGGGCATTGGTAGCGAGAGATGACCTATATCTGAGCGACTTCAAAAAGATTCTGCAAGATTGGGACGATGATAAAGGGAATGTAGTACTCTATGGAGACGGCATACAAGGCCCAGATGAAACGGCCCAAGGAATGGCGTTTCTTGATCTGGAAACAAACGTCCCGAGTCGTCCTATACTCGGCGGAGACGAAGGGCTTCGAAAATGGGTTAAGCTTGTTAATTCACGCGGATGCACGCCCAAGGAAGCGGCGTTTGAGTGGTTAAAAGCATTATGTGTGCGTGATGTCCATCCTACTGGGACAAAACGACCTAGCATCCGTGGAATACTTGGTTCTGGTGGCCAGAGCTCTTGGATACGACATAATTGGCCAGATGTACTCAGAGAGACGGTAACAGCAGTTGCGAAAGAGTGCGAAGACGTTCTTGTGCGCTTCTTTCGCGAGCATATAGCAGCACTGACGGAACGCAAGGTATTTCTGGAGGAGGATCTTGCAGTCGTGGAATGGGCACAAACATGTCTTGAGATATATTTAGGGGATCTAGCAGACAGCGAGAGGCGTCGAAGTAGTGCGGAACTAAGTATGGCTGATTCATTAACACTCACTGTACTAAGAGAAAGAGTCCAAAGGTGGAGTATGATTGTTGCGGATCTTATCGACTGTCTTCCTCGTGATCAGGAGGGACAACTAGCAGAGGATCAGTTAACTTTACGGTATCAGTGGGCATCTGGAGTATTCACGGCATTTACAGGTGCCGAGAGAGAGTTCCGTCTTTACTATTTCGAAGACCTTCGTCAGATCCTCCAAAACGGAGAAATCCGCGCATTTGAAATCCCAAACAGTAGCATCATGCCCGAAGTTTCAGCACTACGTGCAGGCCGGGAAATTAGTAAACTAAAAACCGTCGATTTCTTTACTACTATTTTCAATGCCACTTCGGACGCGCGCGATCCCGCCGAAGTAATTGAGGTCCTCGAGGCTGTACTGGAGCCTGGAACAGTAGAGCCTTATGATGAGGATGAGCGTATAGCGTTGCAAGAGATCTCACGCTTCCTTGAAGGCTCAAGCGCAATGTTTAGATTACATCTATGGGAGAAACTCAAGACTGCGTATGAAAGGATATATAACAGGCCGAAAGTCCTGTGTTGTATTCTGAGATGTATAGAGGTTATTATGAACGATCTTAAGGACAGATCTTACGTTGAATCTACACCCGACCATCGTTATTTTGTGCTTCTCCGGGCACTCAGGTTGGTGGACCAGTTGATACCCATCGTACTAATGCTGGTATCTGGGGGCATGGGGAATGTTAACATGGCCGAGATTGATCCTGCGGGGCTCGTTGATGCAATGAAGGCGGTTGGTTCGTTATT